TTTTTTTTTTTTTTTTGCCTCTTCTTTTCATATACACCTCTTACTTCGAATAAAGAACGCTCGCTTACGTACTTTCATTCACCTTCTAATTATAATTTTCCACGTTTTTCTTTCGCTCGTTGTCTCTTGCATTCATTGATCTTCCTCGCTCTCTTTCTCTCCTCTTTGCCCGCCCTCCAGTGCGGCTCCGTATTTGCGGGAGCTGGCGTTTATGTCGGCCGAAACCATCCGTTCTCCCGCTCTCTCTGTCAGCACTATAAAAAATGCTGCTCTTTTTTTTTTTTTGTTTTGGTCGTCACAATAATAATTAGTTATTTAGTACAAGTCTATTAGTAAAATTCTTCAAAATTCACTATTTAATCACATGTGATTTTTGTTGTCAGTCGTGGTGACAATCGCTTGTGCAACAATTTATACACTCGCAAATAGGTTTTCCCTTTTCGCCTCTTTCTTTCGCCCTCTCGTTCTCTTATTCTTTTTTTTTCCCCCCCTTTCTTCTTTAATCTCCCTTAATGCATGGACTCAAATCGAGTAATAATCGGTCTCTTAAAAAATAGCTCATACCACTTTTTTCATCTTTTATCTCTTGTCATCAAATCGTGATGTACCAAAATAAACTAAATATATTATTTACTTCAAGTCTCAACAGTGTAAAAATCTTTCATACTTTAGATGACGTCAATAATAGTAATCATTAATTATAATAATACAGCATATTATTGTAATATTATAATAATAGCTACGATCGCCTCTAACTCTATCTAACTACCTGCCCGCCACTTCGAGCCCAGAGCTCTTAATATTTGGTAGAAAGCTTTTCTAATCGTTCCTCGATTCGATCTATAAGTCAGACAATGTGAAAAACTGTGCCGGATGTAAAAACGGGCTTAGAGGAACGCAGGAGAGGAGGGTGTTCTTTTTTCTTTTTTTTTTCCTTAGATCTTCGTGTTTTTTCTCTCTCTCTCTCTCTTTCTCTAAGATATCACGCACAGATAGAAAATCCTCAAGTTATACTCCGTTTCTTTTTGTTTCCTCGCGTTTGTTTCCTCTCGCCTATCGTTCTGCTCCAGTCCCACTATCTTTTTCGTTTTCATTTGCAACGCGATTTTATTCGTTCGATATAATAAATTAATTTACACTCTATCTATCATATTCCGTTGTAACAAGCCTACTCTGTTTCTCTCGCTCGTTCTTTCTCTCTCACTCTTTCTCTCACTCACTCTCTCTCTCTCTCTTTCTCTCTCTCTCATTTTTTCTCGGGCGGTGTGAATTAATTAATCTCGGTTTACAATGATCCGCCATTTGATTTCATATTTTTTTTCCCTTCTTTTAGTTCCTAGACTCCGCACGAACCGTATAGGTGTTTCCGGCCCGTCAATCCCGTTAGTGGCAACTATACACATACAAAATCTATTCGAATTTGTAACCAAAAAACAAACATAGTGATATTTAACTGGCTACAACGCAAAAACAATTATATTCTCTTAACTAGAAGATCAAAATTTGGCTCAAGTTTCGCATTTACATACTGACGTAAAAATATATTATAATATTTTTCAGCATATCCCTGTCTAGCGGATTTGTCTGAAAAGGCACAATTCTAAAAAAAATATCTGTATTCACTGTACAATTAAAACTGATATTGATTCGTAGTAACTGTACTCATAAATATAAATCCTCTAAAAAGTACTATGTTCCTTTCCTTCTTGTTACAATAATTACATATATCCTGAAGTTTTTTTTCTTTTAGAAATAAAGCTTCATCTTTTGTTCTCTCTCTCTCTCTTTCTCTCTCTCTTTCTCACGCTCTTTCTCTCTTTCGTTCTCTCTCTCTCTCTCTCTCTCTCTCTCTCTCTCTCTCTCTCTCTTAAAATCTTCACTTCTTTTTCGTCCATAAAATATATTCGTCTGTGATTAAAAGAGAACGCGAACTGTACTTGTAAAAGTAGATAAAAATCTCCGCGTGGCAATACATACAATATATATATATGCCTGACTTGGAATGTCTGAACGAAACAGAAGAAAACAAAAAGAAATAATATGATGAGAGTGCAGTTAGGATGGGGTGGTGTACGCTGTTAAGGAAGAGTTAATTTTTTGTCAGTATCTTCTATTAAAAAGATACTGATGTCAGCATCTTCTGTTAAAAAGATACTGGTTCATGGCCCTTCTCTTCGCAGCTCAGCCACCGGCCAGCCAGCTGGCACGAAAGTCCGGTAGCTACTGATGAGTAACTGAATCTGAATGTTGTTTCTTTTTTCTCTTTTTTTATCAACTCTAGCATTTGGAAGTGCTTTTTTGTATATTATTATTATTATTATTTCTTGGGAAGAATTCTCTTTTGTATATTTCTGAGCAGCGTTTCTTTTATAGTTTACAGTTTTTGTTAAAATATTTTATTCACACTCTCAAGCGTTCAGCTTCGACTTAACGTCTCCTTAGTAAATGTAATACCTAAAGTTAATCCTGGAAGCCTATCAGCTTGACACTAAACTGTCCGTCGCAGAATATCAGTTTTGTCACTGTCGTAATGATGTGTTGACGTTACAGCGTATGGAGCCGTGCTGGTGCCGAACAACGTAGATGACACGGGCTCTCGTACGCCGTTCTTATGACAACATTCATTCTCTAATCGTTGGAAAATATTAACTACTTTCACCTATTTATCTGATGGATAAAATGTATAAAAGATGGCTGGCAAGTCAATTATCATGAGGAAGAATCTTATCTGACTTTATGTAATGTATTTAGTCTCATCTATTCTTCATTAATATAATCCTTCGTATCAACAGATGTGGCTCTCCTAACTTACATAATCCTCGGTGTAATCGTATCTGAAATATTAGAAGAACAGGAAATTGATACTGCTTTGTCTGCAAGATACTCTCTGTGAGAGCTATAAAAGAATCAATGTATACCTAAAAACCGTAGCCTACTTGGGCTGCTGAGCTTGATACTGTTGGTAAGAATCATCAGGGGACGCCGCATTACTTGTTTGTTCAGAATCACCCAACGGCATGGTATGAATAATGCTAGGAGGGTAAGTATAAGGATAAGGATGTGGACTTGCTATGTACTGAAAAACGAAATATTGAAAACATTTAGTTTAACATGAAGGAATAATTCAAAATTTTAGAAGTAAAGATGCGTGCAATACTTACGGAACCAGTGCCAAGATGTAACGTCGACATTTGTGTAGTAAGTTGAGGAATCATACTGTATTGTGGATTACTAGGATCAGCTGATGGCATCATCTGTAATATCAAATTCATGTTTTATTATTCGTTTAATGTTATTGTAAAACTATAATTTTAAATTTAAAGTGAAAATATCGTAAAAAAGATTAATAATTATTTTGATTATTTAATTATTATTATTATGAAAATATGAAACTTTATAGCACACGAAGAGTAGTAACTGGAAGAGTATTCTTTGAAATAAGTGATAAATAAATTTAATACAAAGAAAAGGAAAACAAAACCAACAAAAAAATGTGTACAAAAACTCACGTCGACCTGTTGCATATGTGGAGGGGCAGTCTGCACCAAGTAAGGAGTCACCCAAGGCGTTCCTGGTACACTGTAACCAGGCAAAGCTTGACCATAATGACGACTATATTGTGTTAAGGCTGTAGGTAGCATGTGAGTAGTTGCAACTCCGTTTTGACCAACACCGCTTGTATCATAATTCAAAGTCATATTCTGTGAAAGTACATATCACAACTATTAAAACTGTACATTAAATGTTATTTTCACTTTTTTCCAATTGGTTAAATTACCTCCCCAGTTTCTCTCCATATTGTACTTTTGTATAATGATTTTTTCTTATTACCACCATCTGCAAATTTCACTAATAGGGGATCTTTAGCTCCTTGTAGTGCCTTTCCATTAAACATTTGAATTATCTGTTCGCATTTTTCTTTAGATTCCATTCTAAAATATACATAACATAAAGTATTAATATTATTAAATATGGCAATAATTAATATGACTTGTAGTTATTTTTATTAAATATGGCAATAATTAATATGACTTATAGTTATTTTTTAAATGGCAATATGATATCAACCTTGCAAATCCAACGCCTTTACTTTGTCCAGCGGTATCACGTAATATACGCGTTGAAATAACTTGCCCATACTGAGCAAGTAAAGCCTCAACATCATTTTCTTTGAAGTTCAGTGGTAGGTTTGCAATATACAAATTGGTGGGGTCTTGCTCCTGTTGCTGAGAAGAGAGTAAAAAACACTATGCAACTTATTGTATTACATTCCTGGCCTTGTATATATTTGTATATAAATGTCAAAAAAGCTTCATATCTATCATTTTAACATTCGCAACTAAAACACATATATTCATATATTCCTGTGTAACTATGATCACAGATGAATGCACAGACGAGATCACTACAATGAGAAACCAATATTCATAATAAGTATAGCTGAAACTTTTTTTATAGTAATTTACAAGAAAATATTACAATTTTCTTATATTTTGTATGATTACATTATTTAAAATGTTTAACAGCACATTTCCATTATATGTACACATTCGCATGGAATGTTAAAATGATAATTCAAAATTAAATTTCATATCAATACAATGATGCAAAAAATTCAAAAAACTAAAACTTGATACAATAATTACAAAAATTTCTTTCTAACTTGTTGATAATTTTTTAAAAATAATAACGAAAAAAAATTGTATAAATCTACAAGATACTATTAAAGGAGATCCTTAAACAATTCTTTTAATCTAATATTAAATGTGTGAATGAACAAATACTTAAAACGATACATAATGAATTCAAATAATTATTATCTTTAATATTGAAAAATTATCATGCTTCATGGCATTACTTTACCATATTGTGGTGGTTCTCCAAATTTGCTTTGTGGATGCTTAGAACTAATATTGACATCAAATATATTCTGCATTTTTGTGCAAAGCATGCTCACACGCATTCAGTTTTTCATAACAAGAATCTTTTTCATTACATTGTATATAAAATTTACAAAATATATGTGCTTATTATCAGCATTCAAAACTTAGTAATGCGTAATAATGATATAAAAGTCAAGAAGTAAGTAATAAATTCATAAAAAATCACAATAGTGAATCTCGCCTGTGCAAACATTCTTTATTTAATATGAATAATAAATTGTTTTATTATTCCAAAACGTATTTATCAGCAATTTACTTTCTTTTCTTCAATCAAATCATTTGTATTAAATGGTATTTTAAACATGATTTTCATTATGATGATATTGTTTTTCTGACTGTTTTTCTATGTAAAGCAATACTTTCATAATATTGAGTATCTTTCTTTACAACAAACATTTTATATTCATAATTCTTTTCTAATTATATTATCTTTCTACTACTTTTTATAAATTTATATTTTAAGAATTACATACTCTTACATTATAAATAACCAATACCACAAGTAATGCAAGCTATCTAATTGTTTAAACTGTAATTAACAATACTGAGGATAACCATTCAAAGCATTAATAGAATTTCAATCACATATGACACACTGTTGGATACAAGCATAACAAAAAAGCACAGGCATGTTCACATATATACAGTTATATTATGAGATAGAAATGAAAGTGAATTATTAAATTATATCTTGCAATATTACTAAAATATATGTTTCCAAAATATATGCACATACATATACATGTGTTCATGCTCAAGTTTTTCTTGCTTACAATTCTCATATGTAGAGAACAAAAAAGATATATGTACACTAAACTTAACTCGAATTTGAATTTGATATTTATGCACCCTCAAGCATATTTTGAGATCCACCATTTCTCTCAAAAATCAATCAATTCTACAGTTACTTGAATATACTTATACTTTACGACAATTTACTTCAATCTTGCGAATGCATTAAAACAAAAAAATAAATAATGAAAACATTATGAT